TTAAAAATCTGAACCGGTGCAGCAGCAAGTGAGCCTGCCTACTAAGAGTTGGGTGAAGGAACAGTCAGACTCGGATCTATAGCCCTGCTAGCCACTGGAAAGTTGTATCTGCCTCAGATTATACCTCTCATCTATTAAATGGGAATAATGTTTATACTTAGCCTTAGGGCCATTGCCAGGTAATGACAGCTACCACTTGTTAAGCCTTTACTGCACGTACTAGTCTAAGTATTTTAAATAAGATAATGAATGCAAGGCACTTAGCATAATGCCTTGGACATGCAAAGAGCTCCAGAATTGGTAGCTATTATTTCAAGTATTAGTATTTTAATGATAATAAAAATGAAAATAAGATAAATTAGGTAACTAATCCTTCTTTATATATTTTTTTGCTTTTCAATTATGGAATCTCTCTTTGTAAGTTTCTTTAAATGTTCAAATAGTGGAATATCTCACAAGGCAAGAAGTAGAAGTCTTTAACCCCAAGGAACTTAGAAGGGTAGGAATATTTAAATAATTCAGTGGAAAATTAAAAGATGCAACTAAGAAGATAGGCCAAAAAGAAAAGAAAAATATCAGCACCAAGGAAGTTAATTTAAAATATAAGAATAGGTCATAAATACAACTAGTTACCCCTGAGAAAATGCACACAGTGGTGGAAAAGAAATGTTTCCTTTCGTTGTATGCCTTTTATATTCTTTAAATGTATTTAAATGTACATATATTTCTTCTTCAAAATGTGCATTTTTAAACAAATGGAAGAGAAGGTGGTAAGGAAGAATTTTATTGTTTGAGAGCAGTTTGGTTTCTCCAGACCCACCAAAATTGTACAGTCTTACAGCAAGAAGATATATGCCCTAGAACTATCAAGAGACTGTACAGATGCTTTTCTGGTTTTTCTCTCAATGGGAAAATTTAACATTTGGAAATCAACCTACATAATCTTACGAGTTAGAAAGTTCAGTATAGAAAAAAATTCCCAAATTTTCTCTGAACATTTAGAAGAGATAGTCGATATTGCCAGTATGTATCAAGAGAGCACTTATTGTGTTCAGATATTACATAATTTAATTCTTGCAACCAGGACTGGCTACATAATTTGTGGGGCCCACTACAAAATTAACACGTGGGGCTTCTTGTTGAAACATTATTAAGAATTTCAAGCGGTGACAAGAGAGTATGAAATCAAGTGTGGAGTCCTTCTGAGTGAGGGGACCTGGGTGCCTGCAGAAGTTGCACACCCACGAATCCACCACATTCGCCACATCCCTGTGAGAGATGTGTTTTCATTCCTATTTTACATATAAAGAAAATAACTCAGAGCTCTGAGAGAGTACTAACCTGCCCCAAATATCGCAGTATGGGAACTATGGACCTAAAGTTTGAGAATTGTAGGACCTGGCTCACACACCTCTACTGTTAATCACTGTAAGAGCCTATGGTAGTTACCAGAGGGAAGGGGGTGGGCTGTGGTGGTGAGTCAAGGGGTCCAGATATTTGGTGACGGAAAATGATTTGACTTTGGGCGGTGGGCACACAATGCAATGCACAAATCATGTGTCATAGAAATGTACACTTGAAACCTATATGATCCTATTAATGTCACCCCAATAAATTTAATAAAAAGTTAAAAAAAAGAGCAACTAGCTTCCAAACCTAAAGACAAATAAATTTAAACTAACTCTTTTCTATTTTTACTGGGCTGATTAATTGACAGCTCAGAGGAATACAAGACTTAAACACAAATACATTTTATTTTCATGAGAACATTTCAGAGTAACTTTCAGTACACTCATAAGCAAAATGGAGAAAGGTGGCTGGATAAGACTTTAGTTAGGCAGCCTCAAAGCTTGTTGAGTGTAGCCCAGACCACACTGCATTCTCAGTTTCACCTTGCACCACTCAGCTTTTAGTGAAGGCGGGAAATCATTCTTATCATGTTTAGTTGTCCTAATTTTAATGTATTTGGATGACAGGCTTATGATTCCAAAGATACATAGGAATTATAGACTTAAAAGAACAAGTTAGAAAAAGAGTTTGAAATTTTTCTCTGCTTATAGAGGCAACATTTTGCGGGAAGTGGTTTATTGCAGAACGTTGGAAAATATAGAGAGTACAGAAATACGTAGGGCACGGTAGAAATGATCTGTGCTTTCTCTGCCAAAAATAACCACTAATATTTCTATCTTGCATTATTTATTCAGCACTGTAATGTAAAAAATTTCCAGTGACATTTGAAAATACTTGAAACGTGCACGATGTTTTATCCCTTATCACGTGTGTGGTATAGTTTATTTAAACCAGCACCTACTGGCATTAGGCTATTTCCAGCATTTTGCTGTTCTAAATGACTCTGTGAACAGGGATAGATGTTATATGCAGCCTTTAGCATAAAAATAAATTTAAAGCTTAAGATACTGGCTGAGGAAAATTTCTTTTTGTAACATTTGAAAAGAAACTTCCTTGCTTACTGTGTGTTCAGTGCATGTAATTATTTTGTATACTTGCATTTTTTTCATGTGACACTCATCTTATCTCATAATTACTTGTGTGGTTGTCACCTTCACTGTTATACTATTAGATTCCCCCAAAATAGAGATCCCACTTTATTCCTTTCTGAATGTCCTCTAGTGATCCATGCTCCATACACGTTGTAATTTAATTGAAATATTAAATGATTCGGCTACTGAGTAACTTGCACAACTTTAGATTGCTTTAAATGAAAATGGTTTCCAAAGCAGGGAATCTAGGCTTTCGACCACCAATCAGATTAAATCTAATTCTAGCAAACAACAGGTATTTATTATAGAGCTTGGAAATAAGATGTATCAGAGTCATGATATTCACGCTTCAGATCTTTAAGATAATTATGCAGAAACAATACTCAGCTTACTCTGTGTTGGTCCAGGGTTCAAAACAAATTTTAAGCGAGGCAATTCATGGTAAGGCAGGCTTCCTGCTAGGTGTATAGATCTTGGCAAATGGGAAAGTTTGGTGTCACATACTTTTAATGATTCTGACATATAATTAAGTGTCTATGGCGAAGAAAAGCTGTGGGGAAATTTAGTACATGACCAGTTGTTTTTTATTTTTATTATATGGAGTAGGTGTTGAAAGTAATTACTGATTTGTTATACATAACAAATGATATCCTATATTTACAGCATTGATGCAGAGTTGTTTTCCTATTTCTTCATCCCAAAGGAAATGAAGTGCTATTTTCAATTACAGTACAGCGGTGAATACCGCATAGAAAAATTACAGATCTGTGTCTTGCTATTTTATTAAAAATGATTATTTTTTCTTTCTTATGAGGTCTGCTGTGTTCTTAAATGCAATTTCATAGTATACCATGTTGCCCTTTTCCTTTACCGTTCATGGGCACATCTACCCAATTTCATAATAGGTACCAGTAAGAAAATATAAAATTACAGAAATTAAGTTCATAGCCAAACATTCAGTAACACAGATTTCCATAACATTAGGTATAACTGCAAAAAATAGCTTTGCATTTTCAGAATCTCTGCATTCTGGTGCCTGCACATATAAAATTAGAAATTCTGAACAATATTCTCTTCAATCCATCATTGTGTGCAAAAAAGTTTGCTTGTGGCTCAAAAACGAAATGCTCTTGGAATCCTACTAAAAGCTACATTTTCTTTTTGATTAAAGGTAAGCTTCATTTGATCATGTAATAGTCATTTTGTGTAGTGTGCAATTAAATTTGAGGTTATATTTTAAGCATTAAAAAAAACCTCTCTTTCTGCTTTCATTTGGCGTAACTTGTCAATGCATTGTATAATTTTTGTTTGAAGTGAAGTGATTGGTTCTGAATAATGAATCTGCGGACATCTTAGAGATGGTAAAACCTGTGCTCAGCACATGTAGAAACTCATTGAAGGAATCAGTTATTTGATACGAGGCAAGGGAAGTTACCACAGAACCTTTTTGTGTCTCTTGGCAAGTTCAGGAAAATCAATAAAACTAATTTTGGCCCCAACCAGATCCTATAAATACCTATAGGTGAATCCAATACAGGTGTGTTTTGGTCTCCTTGAAAAGAGACCTTCTGAGTAATTTCTGTCACTAGAAGGCTAATGATTAACATCCCAAGAGGGAACTTTTCAATCCTCATAACAGGAGGACTGAGAGAATTGGTTCAGGAAGGAGGGCATTTTACTCTTATGACTTGTCTGTCTGGGAGTGTCCATGAACTGAGGTAGTAGTCTGTCATGACTTGGGTCACAAACCATATTATTCCAAAAAATAATGATCTGTGCCTAATTTTCTTTAACAGGTCTGAACAGAAAGTCAGTGTTTTTAAACCAAGAAGACTCTTTAAAGCTAACTTTGGAAAACTCAAATATTTTAACATATTCACTGAATTAAAACAAACAAGGAATAGTGTGCTTTTTAGCATTTGAGTAACATTCAGCTTGAATGTATTTCTGGACTAATAGGCACTTTTATTGTAATTTTAAAGGACATTTCACTTATTTGAATAAAAAGTCACTTATGAAGTTCAAATAATCTTGTTTAAAAATATATAGGCCGTAAATAACCACTACATATGATAATCAAAGATGCATTCAACAAATTATTTCATAAACATGTACAATGTGCCAGGCAGTGGGGTTGGTGCTGGAATATCTTAGTAAAATTTAAGTTAACGTCGTAAACACTTTAAACAGTATGTCTAATTAAATGTCAGCATGACACCCTGAGTTTTCTCCTTTGCCCCCTTTGTTTCCCATAACTTGACTAATAAATTGAGGCGGCACTTAGTTTACTTCTGGTTTTGAGATTACCTTCCTTTGCGATTTCAGTCAACATAAGTTAGATAAAACAATTTGATTTGGGTTCATTTTGGTGCTATTTTGATCTGAAGGTCAATTTGCCAGCAAGCAGGAGCAGTTTCATTATTTTCCTTCAGCACTGCAAGCAGTCTTTACTGAGGTCTTTCAAGCGACGTGTGACCTCTATTTCAATACTTCTCACAGATTTCACAGGCTGTCACCACCACGCAGCCATCACTAGCACAGACAACTGTAATGGAAACAGTAACTATGGTGACTACGAGGGAACAAATCCTGGTAAAGCATGCCCAAGAGGATCTCCCTCCACCGCCTCCCCAAAAGAAGAGGCAGATTATCGTGGACTCCGAAATTAGGAAAAGGTGAGAGGATTTTACTCCTGGCTTTATCCTTAAGCAAAGAGTAGTCATTTAACAGGAAAACTCATTTTCAGTTGTTGTTATGGCAGTGTTTTTACTTAAACATTATTTCCACAAGCCTCAGGTGCCTGTCATGTCAGGTAAGTTAGTGGGAGGAATTATGAAGTGAGTTTTAAAATTTTCCCAGACAATCACTATCCCAACAAAAACAGAATGCTGGATGGAAATACTTTCTGGATTGAAAGAAGAAACTATGAGTGATGAACTGCCTTGGATGCATTTTCATCCTGAAAGTTTCTGGTTTTCCTTTTAAAGAGTCTGCTGGTTGAGTGCCTGCTTTAGCATTAAATGCCCCCTCCTCCCCCAGTAATGGAAAGCACGTTTTCATGAAGAAGACGTGCACCTATAATAGGCGAGACTCATTCTGCCAGTTTACGAGAACATAATGTCTCAATCTGCGCATCCTGAATCGAGTCATTAATTACAGAACAGATTTCCTGTTCTTTGATATTTATAAAGTCTTATCTTGAACGTGTTAGAATTTTTAACTGGTCTTTTTGTGGATATTCTCAACTAGACATTGTAGACAAGTTAGGTGTTATGCAAATCAGTGGATATATTAAAACGATGGGGGAAAAATTTTCACAAATGCAAAACCAGAGTGAAAATCATAAGAATGGTACAGTTTCATTTTCGTTCCAATTATTATAATTCTAAGATTGAGGAAGAACATGAAAATCTGCCTTATGTTTCTAAGCAGCATATGTTTAGGGATGCACGGAGCACTTGACATTCGAATTTGTATATACAGGGTACAGAAACAGGAGAAGATCACATCCCTGAAAATAGCCTGTCAGATACTCTAGGCAAAGGAAAAGCACCTGGAGAAGCTACTCATGTACATCGCTTGGGACTTTCAGTATTTCTCTATTAATCCGTGACCTATAACCTACTTTCGTAATTCCACAGGAAACCATTGGGCCTTTCTCCCCCATTGTATCTGCGTGGCTGAGTGAATGCTCTTGCCCAGGGGTCAGCAAACTAAAGCCTGGAGGCTAAATCCAGCTCGCTGCCAGTTTTTGTCTGGCTCATGAACTAAGGCTTGTTTTTACATTCTTAAGTGGTTGAAAATAATCAAAAGAAGAATATTCCATGACGTGAAAATTTTATGAAATTCAAATGTCAGTGTCCATAAATAAGTTTTTATGGAAACATAGCCACACTCATTCATGTATGTATTATCTATAGTTGCCTTTTTTTTTTTTTTAAATCCTCACCTGAGGATGTGCTTTTATTGATTTTTAGAGTGGGGCTGGAGAGAGAGAGAGGGAACATTGATGTGAGAGAGAAACATCAATTGGCTGCCTCCCTGCAACCTAGGTGTGCACCTTCACTGAGAGTAGAACCCACCACCTCTTGGTGCATGGGATGATTCTCCAAGCAGCTGAACCACCCGGCCAGGAATCATCTGTGGTGGTTTTGATATTGCAAAGGCCGTGTTGTTGTCCGAGACTATATGGCCCACAAAGCCTAAAATATTTACTATCTGGCCCCTCGTGCAAAAAGTTTGCTGACCCTAGTTCTAGTCAAATGGTTCTCAAAATATTTGAATATTTGCGTTCTGGTTGAGTCAACAACTTTCAAGGACTCTACTCATGCTAGTAGTTGAAATTTTAACATTCACTGATGGAGAATGAACATAATGGCAGAAATAAATCAGTAAAGCTCTTAATGAATTTGCTTTTTATTAATCATAGTAGCATGGAAACTAATTTAATTTCGTGTTTAATATGTGTCTAAATGCTTAGTGGGCACATGGATTTATGGATCCTTTGCAACAACCCAACAACTCTCCAACAATTTTCCGACCAGAGCAATATGGAAACCTAATTGCCTTCCCCTCCCTATGGATTCAGGAGTTGCCTAATACAGAAATTAACAGGGCAAGTTGACTCATGTCAATCTCTGTCTTCAAAAGCTTATTCTTGCCTTCTGTTTGGAGAATGCATTTGGTTAGAGAAAATGTGGTATGATTACTTTTTGTACTCAGGAAAAAGTGTGGCTGGTGGTGAAATATCTTGTCTCCTAAATTCTGTTTGTATCATACGTGCTCAACAGTTCAGATGTCCAAGTGGGAACAAAAAGAATACTTAAATAAAAGCTAACACTTATTGAGGCTTTTATTAGGTGCTCAGCACTACGTTAAATGCTTCATTTGCATAGCTGATTTATTCTTCCCAGTAACCCTACAAAATAGGTGTAGCCATTACGACTATTACACACAGCTGTGGAGTAACTGAGCCAGGATTTTAACTGAGGTCGCCCGACTGCAGGATGTGCATTATGTAGTAAAGTGTTTCTTCAGCAGGTATGTAACTAAGGTGATCTTACGTCTTGGTTTCCCTGAATCCATTCTGATTATACCTTTTGTCTTAGTGTAGTAATACATAGCACCAACTTTCACTCTCAAGTGTGTTCTGATTTGGACAATACAACACGAACAGTCCAAGTAAGACTCCAAGCTGATAAATTTAGACTGGCCAAGAGCAATTGAGTAAATATTCAGGAGCAATTAAATCCAGTAGGTGGTAATTGGTTACTGAATGTAATCTGGTCAAAATAGTATAGTGGTTCAGGAGGTATCGGAGACATGACCTAAAGCTTCATAGTGGCCAGTGTCCTCTTGTTTCATGTGAGAAGTGCTAGCATTTAATTGTCAAGACTTGACAGTGTCCAATGCTGATCTTTTCAAAAGGACCTCCTTTTTCAGCTTCTCTGACACACTCCTGGTTCTGCCCCTACCACTCCTGACCTGACTTGTTTTCCTCCTCTTGCCTAACTCCTATGATAGTGTCTCATAAATCCATCTCTTTGCCCTTCTGACTTCTTTATCTGAATTGTCTCCTCTCATTGATTCAAGTCTGGCTCTCAGTGAATGACTCCTAAATATTACAGCTCCATACCTGACTCCCTTCCTCAAATTTCACTTTTACGCCTTTAAAGCTGTGATCTGGGTACTTCTATTGTGCATCCAGCCAGTGGTTCAATTTTATTTTTATCAAATGCAAACATTTGTTGCCTCCAATAAACCAAACCTAATTACTCATATGTTGCACACACAGTTTACTTATTTTAATTCATTGCCTTCGTTTTTAAAAGAGTAGCAGATACTGGAAAAAGCATGGACTTTGAAATCGGAATTACTCAGGTCTGAAGCCTGTCTGTTTTGATTACTAGCTATGATCCCAGGCAAAGGACCAAATATCTGTGCCTCAGATTCACTAATCCTCATGTTAATAAATTCCTAACTGTAAGGATTAAGGAAGAAGCATTTAATGCAGTCCCTGAAAGGTAGTAAGAATTCAGTACGTGCAGTAGCCATTACTCTTGTTTGGTTATGGTAAGTGTGGTGGAGGTTGATGTGATGGAGGTGATGGAGGTTAAGGAGGTGGTGGAGGTTGAGGAGGTGGTGGATGTTGAGGGGGTGGTG